GCTTCGCATCGAAGCTAAAATAGAAGCTGATGTTGCTTTTGGAATAATCCAACAATTCCTTTTGAAAATTAAACACTATCAATACTTGTCTTAACCCAATTGTGTTACCACTGTCCTAAATTTTTATACTTCAAAAATGGTTACAATAATAAGTATCAACTTTAATCATTCTGAATAATATTCATGCATAAAAGCTCTCTAGTACTCATCTCCTTACATAAGAGTATAAAAAATAAATTCCATTTTACTGAAATATATCTTTCTACAAAATAGTTGTAATGTAACGTTCACACAGTACCCCACTGAGATAACGTTTTTAACGCTCGAGAACTAAAATATCTTTTGTAATTAAATAAATTTTGAAAATAGAAATTTAAAAAAGTTAAATCATTTCATATAAAATATGTCATCAAATGACAGCATATTGTACTTTTTAACTCTATTAATTTTCATGAATTATGATTGATTTCCGTCTTCTTTTAGAAACACTATGAAGAAAACTGACTTCGATGTTCGTATAAACCATTTTAAGACACGTATATATATATATATAATTTTATAGTGGACTCATAGGAAAAACTCTACAAAATTCTATATTTTAAATCTTTTTTTTTTTTTTGTTAGTCATTTCATTTTAGAAATGAATATTGCTATCAATGTAGGAAGCCAGGTTGTGTGAGTTATAGTATTTTGTTGTTAAGCGTATAAATATGTTATAAAAAATTATTTTAACTATGAAACATAAATGATAGAAAACTGAATTTAACAAATGTAAGTTTTTAGCTCTCGATCATTTAATTAGAGCACTCTTAGAAAAAATATCCAAATTTTAACATACATTTACTGAAAGTTTTTAACGCATACAATGTAAGAGAAATTTTTAATAAATAGTGATGATGTAAATGTTATATTTATGTAAGAATTTTTATTCGGTACTATATGTCAAATTTTATTCTACTTATGTGTAAAATTACAATAAGAAAACTATATGTATGGGAATTTTTGGATCATTTCTTACAATGTGAGTAATAACTTATTAGTAATTATTAATTTAGGACCAGTCGGAGACGTCCCTTATAAAAAAAGAGCAGAATTCAAGTTATATTTATATTAATATTTTTTATTAGAATAAACAAGTCCTTAAATTTATTTTATGCATTTAATTTTTATATTAAAACATGAATAAGTAAAGTAAATATTTTAGATTATATTAAGTAATTTTTATCAACAAATAAAATTTTTAATTTTATATATAAGTATTTTGTGAGACCTGTGAAAATTAAAATATATTTCAACTATATTTATCTATATGTTTTGTTATTTAGTCGTGATAAAATGGAATAATATTTTTTTAATGAGTCAAAAGTAAAACATTATTTATAGCTCAATAAATTTTAAACTAATTGTGAGTTATCTTATCATACAACTTACACATATAATACTATTCAGTNCAAAAGTAAAACATTATTTATAGCTCAATAAATTTTAAACTAATTGTGAGTTATCTTATCATACAACTTACACATATAATACTATTCAGTATGAATCACTGGGTACTCAACAATAGTTTTAAACAAGTGAACAGAAATTAAAAATGTCAAGTATCTATATACTCATGTCAACATTTACAAACCGTACATGAATATTTGGTATCCAAATTCCTTGAAAATTCCCAATGGTTTGAACACAAGACCATTAAAAAAATATCGAATACATACACAAAACAAGAAACGTTAAGGGGATGACTGAACCCAACGACCACGTTTAACAAACTGCTGTATATTTCGGTGTAACCCTTCATCGCTAGTAAAGGCACCTACATCATGACAAAATGCGCGTGTGTTGCTACATTCCTATTCTTTTACAGACTTTCTGGAAAACAAAATGAACTATAAAGAATTTTGATGGAGTTTTTGAGTTATTCTTATACGTTTACCAAATTGATTTTGACTAAAGAAAAGAAAAGCAACCATGTCAAAACCACAAAATCAAAATGTTGATAAACATTGTATTTGACACGTTGAAATAAAGACAAATTATCATAGAAAGAAAACTTATGATTTTGATTTGATTCAATGCTTTGAGCTCTAAGCAGTTAAATTTGGCTTCAAGTATTAAAAATATTTATTGCATGTTTGAAAAGAAAAACATTTTCTTTTGAGAGCAATATAGTTTTGCAAAATTATGAACTTGTTTCAATAGTAGAATAAAGTAAATGAATTTTATCCATTTAAAGCCTACAAGGCGTGTGACTTGAGATCTTCTTTATTTATTCGAATTTTTTTGTTTGTCGTTTATTATACTTGAACTGTGTTATATAATCGAAAATTTTATTTTTCGGTCGATCAATTATATGATAAGTTATATGATGTTAGTTAAGTATGTTTAAGAAAATTGGTATGGTAATTTTATAAATATCATAACTTTTTTTTTTTAATTTAAATATATTAAATGATTTAGTGATCACTAATATTTTTTTTATCATGTTTATTTTAAATATTTAAAATAGGGCATTTTATTTTTTCAAAGATATTACGTCAGTCATAATTAAAAAATCACTTTGTATAGGACATACAGAATTTACATAATTAAACAACTTAAAAATCTTTAAAAAGACATAATACATAATTAACATACATTATTTTATTTAAATATTTAATATGAGATAAATAATATTTTGATAAATATATAACAATTTAGGTAAAATTTATAATTTTTTATAAATGTGTTTAAATTATGCAATATAATTTAATTAACTGTTGCTGTTAATTTAATTGTTAGCAGTTGTTTAAAAATATTTGTAGTTTAATATGGTTTTATTCAATTAATAATATATATAAACTATCCTGAATATTACATATGCATATTTAATTTGTTGTAGAATCAAATAAGTTTTATTACATTTTTTAGCTATAAATTTTTTAGTAGCCTTGACCCATGATGCAATTTATACTTCATTAAAGTTTATGATGGGAACACTTCATTGTTGAGTGAATATTAAATTCACTTTACAAAAATAAAACAGTCCGATTAAATATTATTACTAAGTTAAAATGTTTATATACTCAAGAAAAAAAATTTTCTTTTGATTTTTCTATACATTTTATGTTAATTAATTAATTTTAATTAATTTATGAATATTTCTTCATTTTGCTAAATTATAAGATATATTTTAAAATCCTCTTAAAAAAAAAGTATACTATTATTAAAATATATTTTAATAATAGATTGATCATGATAANTAACTTTGAAATGTTCTAACTTCTAATAAACTTTAGCTCCGAATTTTACTGAATTATTGTGATTGACTAAGATTACTTTTTGATAATTATTAAAAAAAATCATGGACAAAGAAATACTTTTACGAGAAGTTATATAATTTTGAATTCATGAAAATAATTAAAAATCGCAACGTATACGTATACCGCATTGTGGTATCAATGTATTGTCATTCAAATGACAATACTTTGAGCTACAAAACTGTAGCTCAAAGTAGATTTTTTCTTCACTATGAAATTTATACAGAATCATTAAAACATGTTTATACTTTTTGAAAATTTTAAATATATCCCACGATCTCTTTAACGGGTTTATAGATGTGTGGCATGAGAATATTGAATTTTTGTTTAAACATTGTTTTAATAAAAAGGAAAAAAGAAGGGGAACGATTTATTTTTTTTGAAGAACTGATTCTGGAATGAGTTCCATTTAAAAAGGATATTTTTCAACACTGATTTTTGAGTTATTAAAATATCTAACATAAAGTATAAAACTATATTTTATTTGTTTTTTTTTTTAGCAGGATAATATTATATAGAACAATGATTATTGATATTATGAATTATAATTATCATATTATGAAGTTTTTTTCTATGATAATTTCAAATAGGTTTACAAATTTATAACCAAAATTATTCTTATATTATTTTATATAATCACGATGAATTAGAAACGATCAAATATTTATTAACATTTTTATTAATTCCCCAAACATTTTTTAGGTTAAATGCAGTTCGTATAAACAGCTGTTCTCTAGACATATATATTGTGTATATTCCTGTAGGAATATAGAAATAATGATATGTTAAAAACTAAATGTTATTAGCAGAATAATTTATATCTATTATAAAAGACAATCTTTTTAAACACTTCAAGTTACTAGGAAATGATTACTATTATTTCTATTTAAGTTATCTATTACGATAAAGATGCAAAAAAATATTGAGCTTTTCTGATACATTTACTATAAATAGTAATTATAAAATTTCCTGACTGCATATTAATCTTAACGATCCAATTTTTTTAATTCTCATAAAATTTCCTATTCAATTATGTCAATTTCAAACTTGCAAATTGAGCTAAAAGTTATGATAATAAATTAATTTTTTTTTATTATAAACTTTTACAAAAATCAACTTTAAAGGATTAAAAAAATAGGTTAAATATGTCATTTTCCTTAATTACTATAATTATTATTTATTTATATATTATAATTGTAAATCAAATAACTAATCAGGATAAAATTAAGGGAATAAGATTTATCATTGCTTTTGAAATAATCTACCAATTTCTAAAAATTATACAGTAATTACAGATTTGTATCGAAGCGTTTCTTATGATAGTGATTTTAATCACTGTCAGATATCATCTATACTTGTCCCAACTATGCTACGTCCATACTATGCCAGGACCCCACTGTGCTACCGTTTTTTTAATCATCACTTTAAATTACTTCAATTTGTATTCGATTGTATAACATTTGTTTTCGAACTTACTTGGTTGTAAATCGAAAATATATAGAAATTCGGCAATTTGTGTTAATAAAAAAATAATAATTATCAAATTGTATAATTAACATTCTCAGCTTAATAAATAAAATTATGCTATTAATTCTAAACATACAAATAAATAATAATATATTATCAAAAGGTTACTTACTTTAAGATAAAATACATAAGATTAAGTAAAATGCAAAATAAAAATTTAGTGTAATTTATTACCTTTATGTTGCCATCTACTTTCATTTCCATTGTTATTCACACAAAAATGATTAAATACTGGATATTTATTGAATTGAAAAATATTAATAGGTCCTTAAATGTTTTTAAAGTATCTATGGCATCAAATGTAAATACGAGGGGTGTATTGATCCTATGTCTCCAAAATTAGAATTGTAATCTAAAAAAAAGTTCTCACTTTAGTGAAATGTCTTCTCCTCCCACCTAAAATGTCTTATGGATCCGTGCCTGTGAAACATGTTTATTAATTTTGTACCACTTTTAAAACCAATAATTTTTATATGGTACTTTTATTTCACTAAAAAATGTGTGACCCATGTCCGTAAAAAATAGATATATCATAGGTATATACAGTCCAACAGGAGCATTTTTGGTTCTAAAATAGGAATGATTCTTCCAAGCTCACCACAACCAATTAGCTAATTATTATATATTGTTTAAGGTAGATAAAAACAAACATGAGCACCTATTTATTTTATATATTATCATTGATGTACTCGATATAACTAAAATAAATTTTATAATTGCATAAGTCTTGACCCTAATAATATTTTATACGTAAAAACAAATTATTACACAATCTGTTTTAGTAAATGTCTTTTATAATAGATTCAAATCATTCTGCTAATAATTTTTAGTTTTTTAACATATCAATATTTCTAAATTCCTACAGGAATACACACAACAGCTGTTTATACGAATTGCATTTAACCTAAAAATGTTTGAAGCAATTACTTATCCGTTAATCAAGGCCGATGAATTGTTAAGCTCTAGTTGTAAAATAAACGTTTATGTTTGTGATAATGTTGTAAATTGCTGATTCCGATGAATTTGGACGCTTTGCATTCTACAATGAGTGATGAATGTGTTTAATGGCCTTATATCACGACCACCTCTTAATTGTGAATGTTGCCACAACCTTTACTATAGAGATCCGAACGTGTTATTTCTTAATATTGTAGGTATTCAATGCTAATAGTTTATATCTTCTTCTGCAATAAATAATATTATATATCAACAATTATCAGCTATTTTAAAAATTACTTTGGTTTGTGAATTATTCTTCAACCTTAATTCATAGTATATTATTTTAAAAATGGCTGATAATGTGGAATCTTATGAAAAACTATTCCCTGAAGATGAAAAAGTAACTAAAACTATTAAGAAAAATGTTGATGAACTGAAAACTGTTAAAGAAAATCAAGAAATGGAAAATTCTAGTCTGTTTAGTACAATATCACATGCAGCTCTAAGCTTTGCTAGTACTGCATTTGTGTATGCAATTGGGTATTGGCGTGTAGCTGCTGTCAGTACATGGGTTTTAATACCAATAATGACTTGTGTTTCCATTGTACGGGATCGTTGGCGTGAAGTTGGACATAGAAGGCGTAGACGAGCACAAATGATTGCATCAGCTGATGAAAAAAAACTAATAACAGCAAGTGTAGCTGAATTACCTTCTTGGGTATTCTTTCCTGATATGCATCGCGCTGAATGGTTAAATCAAGTAAAAATTTTATAACAATTCTAATCAAATAAATTTCTTTTAGTTCAGTTATAAATTATCATTTGTAGATGATAAAGCAAATGTGGCCACTAGTCAGTGCCTTTACTCAAACTACTATTAAACAAACTGTTGAGCCAATGGTAGCTGAAAACTTGAGGGAATATAATGTGAATAGTTTTGCATTTGATAAGTTGCGTCTTGGCTCTATAGTGAGTATTCCAAACAGTGCTAGTTTTAGGTATACAAGATAGCACAGAGCACTCCAGCAAGATAAATGTGATGTTCCATGATATTTTAAGCAATGAGTTATTTTTTTTTGTTGTTTATTCAAGAAAAGATCATATAATTTTTTTACAGTGCACAAAGTAATGCTTGCATGGAGTGCTAAAAGACCTAAAGTCAGCACTAATTCTAAATTATAATAAAATTTCACTCTTTAAAATTAAAATGGCAAACTTAATTTATTTGTTTTTTAATTTATAAAATAGCCTCCTAAGATTGGGGGCATTAAAGTTTATGAGGGTATTTCACGTGATCAAATTATGATGGATGTTGACTTAATGTAAGTAAAATCAAATGTCTTTATATTTTTATCATTTGATTTTTATTTTGTTTTGAATTTTATTAGATTTTCTAGTGATTGTGATGTTTCTTTTGTTGTGAAAGGTGTTACATGTGGGATTAAAGATTTCCAAGTAAGTAAATTTGTCTTATTTGAAAACAAATTAATCATACAAATCTGTTATTCTATTATTATAATTATTTGAATGAGAGAGACAGAGAGGGTAGTGTTGTATATTGATTTTACAGATTATTACACATCACATTGCCTTTTTATCAAATTAATAAACTAATGATTAGTATTTAAAAAAATAAAACCTTATAAGGAAATTGTCTTCCAGTGGCGACGGAACCCAGAATGGCAAGGGGGCAATTGCCCCCCTGATCATAATACGACGAAGCAAAAGTATCATTATGCCCCCCTAATAGATCTGAAAAAAAAATTACAATGGATCTGGAAAATAATATAACACTACCATACTTAATTATTTAGCTATTCAGATTTTAGGATTAAAAAGTGTTAATGAATTTACCTAACTCCAGTTGAATATCAGAAAACGGTAGCACAGTGGGGTCGCGGCATAGTTGAGACAAGTATAGATCATATTTGACAGTGATTAAAATCACTATCATAAGAAACGTTTCGATGCAAATCTGTAGATAGTGTTTAAAAATAAGAAATTGGTGGATTATTCCTAAAGCAAAATTGACTTCTATTTTTTGTTCTACTTCAACTGCCATTTGTACATAAAAAATAGTTCGTTGGTACAAATTTTTTTTTTTTTTTTGAACTTCTAGTACTTAGAATTAGCTTTATTTTAATATTTATTTAAAAGACACAGATTTTCAAATGTTAAGTTGAAAAAGTTCTACTTTTTATACAAATTTTCAAGTTTTCAAAAAAAAATTTTTTAACTTTGAAGAGTCAAAATTATCAAAATAAGTACAAATTTATATTTAACGTAAGTTAGATTCATGTAAATTTTATATTTATTGGTAAACTCATTACTATGACAAACCCTTATAAGGTATTTTAAAATAAATATAATTTGAACACAAAAATAGCATGTTTTTTAACTACGACAGCTATTTGCATATAGAAGATAAGTCGTCGGCAATTTTTTTTTTAATTTAAAGTACATTACATAAGCTTAAATTTGACATATGTTTTGAAAGTGCAGTGTTTCTGGATCATTTTTAATACTTAAGTTGAAAAAGTTGGGTTTTTTGTAAAAAAGTTGCTATTTTGAATCATCTCTTGTGGACAAGTAAAGGATCAGATTTTCAAAAAAATTCTATCAAATAAAAGGGAAATGCATAGGGTTTCAATATAAAAAAAAATTATTTTGATTTGTTCATTTTTCAATAAATTATGACAATTTTTAGAAAAAAAAAATATCAAAAATTTACCGATTTTAAAAATTGTAATTTTTATGAAATTTTCACTATTTACAAAGAATGAAGTAAAATTTTTCAATTTTTTAGGATAATGTCTTCTTTAACTAGATACAAGTTGTGATCTTTTGACGTAAATAAATGAACACATCATGGTATAATTAATATGTTCTCAACTTCACATTGAAGCTAATAATATGTATTATTAAGAGTAAAATTTATAAATTACTGAATTTTTTGTTCTATAATCATTAAAATCTACCAAAAAATAGCTTAACCCACTTTTAAGCTTAGTAACAATCAAGGGAACCTAGTGCTAGTCATTAAATTTTTGCCCTCCCATGTAAAAAATAGTTCCGGCGACCTTGATGTCTTCTATATTTAAAACTTTAGTATCAACATATTTATCATTATTATTATAATGAAATTTTTGTTCAAATATTTACAACAGTTGCGTGGAATTATGAGAGTAATAATGAAACCATTGATTGCTACTGCGCCATTGATTGGAGGAATGCATTTTTTTTTCTTGCATCAACCTGACATTGATTATGATTTAGTTGGAGTAGCTGATGTTTTAGATATGCCAGGTCTAAAGTAATAATTATTTTTATATACCCTATTTTTTTAAAGAAATGTTTATTTATTCATCAAAAATCTTTTAGTGATGTACTGCGTAAAGTTATTGCTCAACAAGTTTCAGCCTTAATGGTCTTGCCAAATAAAATACCAATTGTTTTGAGTAATGATGTACCTACTCACCATGTGAAGTTACCTGAACCAGAAGTAAATATTTTATGTTTTTTTTAATTTAAGATTTTTTTTTAAATTAAAGTGTACCTCTGTAAAAGGTTGAAACTAACTTGTTTCTATAAAAACCTTTTCATACAAAAAATTTCCTTTTGTGGAAAATTATTTTTATTTATTAAAAATATCTTATATATCAACTGTTGTTATCAAAGATCTAAAAATAATAATTGAATAAAAAATTTTAAATAAATCATCAACATTTTTTGATGAGAGCTAATTATTTAGGAAATTTTTTTTCATACATTTTTTTATTTGTATATAGGGCGTTTTAAGAGTACACATTGTACAAGCTAAAAATTTGGTTGCTAAAGATATGAGTTTAATGGGAAGAAAGGGAAAGTCAGACCCTTATGTAATTATTACTTTGGGTGCTAAAGAATACCGTACACCAACAATAAAAAATGATTTAAACCCAAAATGGGACTATTGGTGCGAGGTAAAACTTATAATACTAAATAAAATCAATTAAAATATTATATTATGTATTGTATGTTTATTTTTGTAGTTTGTATCATTTTCTCCTAGAGGACAGTTGCTGAAACTTAAGTTGTTTGATGAAGATGAAATAGTTGGAAAGAAACACTCAAATCTGGGAAAGTAATGAATAATTATACTTGAATTTTATGTAGAATATGAATTTATAATTATGAATTTAATTATACATTATGTATATTTTCTGTGTAGAATATCGTTTGAAGTATATGGTGCAGTTCATCTTGGTGAAGTAGACAAAGTAATGTTAACGTAAAATTTACTTTTAGATATAAGTTCAATCATTTAAAAATTTTCTATTAAAAATGAATTGAGGTTATAAAAAATCACATTTATTTTATTGATATAGACATTTTTATTAAAAAATAATAGTTTTCCTTAGTGGGTTAATTTAGAAGATACCAAGCATGGAATGGTACATGTTCGATTACAGTGGCTAGAATTAACTTCTGATAAAAGTGCATTGAAAAGGGTAATTATTTTTTTTATAACATTGAACAGTAATAAATTATTATTTTAATAGGCATTAAGTGAAACTCAAGAATTGCGTGTAACAAACATGAGCTCAGCAATTTTAACACTGTACATAGATTCTGCTATTAATCTTCCTGTAAGTATTATTTATTTATTTACGGACAAAAAGTCCAAAATTCACAAAATAACTACAGAATTTGATTATATATAGAATAAACAAAAGAATATATACAATAACTATATTAAACCAAATAATATACAATAAGTAAACAAAAATATTAATTATATAACACTACATAATTAGAATAGTTAAAAAACATTAATATTAACTAAAAAGATCTAAATAATTAAATTGATTCCTAACAGTTGATAAAATATTAACATGTGCACAAGATAAGAATTTATTAGAACTGTGAGGAGTATAAAATAAATCTTTATTTCTTACATTATGACAACTAACTTTAAAAGATATGCTATTTAACAAAAAAGAATCATCTACCTTATTATTTAGAAGTTTAAAAATAAAATTGAATTCATCTATTTTTTAATATACTTAAATTCAACATATTTAAAATATCAGTATAACCAGAATGGGGAGTCTGTATATATTGCATTTAAAACAAATAAATCTAAGAATTTTATTCTGAATTTTTTCAATTTGATTATGGTGGCCTGTATTATTATGAGTTTCCCAAATTATTATTGCATACTCAAGTTGAGGACGAATAAAATAAAAGTGTAAAGAACTTTTAATACCATTGGATAATTGAAATTTGTAAAATTACGCTTAATAAGCCCGAACATAGGGAATGCTATTTTTTTTATGAATAATACATGAAAGTTACACAAGAGTTTAGAGTCAAAAATAATGCCCAAATCTTTTACTTGAGAAGAATGAAATAAATTTGGATTATTAAATTTAGAATAATTAAAGAGAAACGAATTACGTTTTTTAGTAAAAGAAATGCAAGTGCATTTGTTAATAATTAAAGACATCCCATTGAAAATACACCGGCTATAAAAACTATCAATGTCTTTTTGTAAAAGAATATAATCATTAAAACAACTAATAGATTTAAACATTTTAGAGTCATCTACCAATAAAAGAATATTAAAAAAATTAATTGAAAAAACAATATCATTGATAAATAGATTGAATAAAAGTTGAGTTAAATGGTCACCCTATGGAACACCAGAATCCACTGAAATTGGATAAGAAATTAAAATATTGATATCTTAGTGTTAAAAAAAATTGAACCATGCCAATAAAGAGTTAGCAAAACCAATTTTTCTTAATTTATGAATTAATAGTTGGTGGTTTATCCTGTCGAATGCTTTTTGAAAATCAGTATATATAAAATCTGTTTGTTGATCATTAGCACAGAAGTTAAGGATAAATTGTTTAAATAATATTAAATTAGTAACAGTAGATTTATTATTACGAAAACCATGTTGTTGAGAGCAAGAATATTTTTAATTTTTTATATTATATATTTTAATTATTTATATTATTAGAATATTGTTCATGAATATTATTTCTTTTGTTTATTATAGAATGCAAGATCTCAAAGTAAGCCTGATCCATATGTAAAGATTTCCATAGGCCAAGAATCCCAAATAACAGTTTCAAAGTTACGGACAGAACGGCCTGTATTTGAACAAGGTTTTACCTTTTTAGTCAGTAATCCTGAAACTGATACCATAGAATTTAAGGTATTTGCCATTTCCATCTTTTATAATTTAAAGTATAGGAATTTAATCATATTTTTCCTAAAGATTGGTAATTTCTTTTCAAATTATTATTAAAAAATGTATAAGAAATTTAAAAAAAATAATAGGTTAATGATAGTGCTTTTTTGTTAGCTTCTCTTCTGTTTTTCAAATGTTAAACTACATTATTATTATTACGCCTGATTTTTGTCATATTACTTGATATATATATTTTTTTTTTAGGTAATTGACCAGAAAACAGGTGTTCAATTAGGAATTTATGAATACAAGTTAACCAGATTATTTGTTTTTGGAAGTATGGAACAAGAAATGCAGCCTTTTGATTTGATAACCGATAGTAAACATAAACATCATGATTGTAAACTAGTATTTTGTGCTCAACTTAAGGTAATTATTAAGTAAAAAAGTAAAGTACTATAGTTGAAATTTATTATTTTTTATATAATAGAAAATGAAATTATATAATAATGTAAATATTATTAGTTCAACAGAAAAACTCATAAATTCTGAATTTAAACTTTTTAATTTTTTTAATTATTCTAATTTTATTTTTATTTTCAATTATACACTACGATTAGTAATATAAAGTTAAGGTCAGAATTGAATCTCTGAATTTTTCTAAAAGATGTTGCATTTGCTAATGTATTACTAACCATAAATATTTGTTGAGCAAAAAAAATGTTTTTTATTTATATGCAATTGCTATACAGGCAACCTTTAACAAAGTATATAATTATCTACGAGTATAATATTTGATTGTAGAAAACATTCAAAGCATCAACCATACATATCAACTTATGTGATATGTATTGAATGATTAACTTGTCATGAACCATTTCGTTAATTGAATAGTATAAATAATATTAATAATTTTTTTATTTGTTTCTTTTTGTTTATTTATAATTTTTTTTTATGTTCATCCTTTACCCTTATAATAATATCAACTTTAATTTCTCAAATGACAATACTCCTAATAAACTTGCTCATTTAATAAATAATAAACAACTTTTGGATTTTAGTATTTCGGAAATTATTGATAATGTAAAGTAATAACTGGAGGTGATTAGTGGGTGCTGCTATTTTTATATCTAAACATTTTCCAGTCATACTCTTCCTCTCACATATATAAATATGTCAGTAACTTCTAATATACTGGTTTAAAAGTTGTTATCAACTAGTAATTTTCTTAATTGAGAAATAAAATTTGATGTCCTTGTAAAATAAAAAAGGATGAACATAAAAAAAATTATAATTGAACTAAAAAAAACAAATAAAAAGTTTGTTAATATTATTTTTATTTTTCGATTTATTAAGTAATAATAACTAACACTTTCTTCAAGAATGAGGTTTGTTGTCGTTATATATTAAATTATATTTTCTATAAAATATAATAAAAGTAAAACTATAAATTATTTTATCAATTTAATAATTATTATTTTTTTAAAGTATTGCTCAGCAGTGATACATAGTTCATCATTGATTATAATTAGTTCTTTGTGTTTCCTGAACAATTTAAAAAATTTTAGTTATATCATATTTCAGTGATCCTTGTAATTTTTAAATTGCGGTACACATTTATTGTTTAAAATGATTATACAGCATTTTACACATTACAAGATTATCATATTATATAAAATAATGTATAATAAATACATTTAAATTTGATAAGATGTTCTTTTTAACATGTACTAATTTAAAATATCAATATTTATCAATTTTTTTTTTTGTATTTAGTTTCTTCATAGAAAGCCCAAAGTATTTTCTAACGAAGATGCAATAACTAAGCCATTATTATTAAAACAATCATCAACAATATCTACAAAATCAAATAATTCAAACAATAGTTCAGGAAGTACAGAAAATCTCCCTACTGTTACAAACCCCTCAATAGATGAGCCTTCTATAAGTAGACCTTCCTCAATTATTGAAGATGACTTAGAAGTACCACCTATTGTTATTGAACAAGATCAAGAACTAGAAATAAAAGAAACACATGCATCTTCTGATATATCTGGACTGTTAGTACTACTATAAATTTTATCTATTCTTATTCACTTAACTATAGACACTATGTATTTATAAAATGGAGAATAGTTGATAGGTAATAACTAATATTGCCTTATTTTTTAGAAATGATTCTTCTCACTGTCCTTTGGGTAGCATTCAGTTAAGTTTTGATTACAGTGTAGTTAGGCAACGACTTAATGTAACGGTTCATAAAGTTGTGTAAGTTCATTAATTTAATTACATTTAAATTATTTATTTTGCTATGTTATGTTTAACTAATGTTAAATTATTTATTAGAAATCTGCCCATCAAAGAACCTTCAAATATTCCAGATCCATATGTTAAACTTTATATATTACCTAAAAAGGACAATGCTAATTCTAAACGCAAAACTGAAGTATAACAAATGAATTTTATTTTTTTTATATGATTAATTTCAACTATTTTTTATGGTAGGCTTATAAAGACCAATGTAATCCTGTTTTTGAAGAGACATTTGAATATGTTTTGGGAATTGCTGAATTGAATAGCAAACAATTGGAAGTAACTGTATTGACTAAAAAAACTTGGCATAGTCCAGTCTTAGGTCAAATTATATTGAATTTAAGTGATTATGTTAATCAAAATTCAATTAACTTCACTGGCTGGTTTGATTTACAACCAGAAGCAAAAGAAGTTGCTTAATTTTTATCTGTTAAATTTTAAAATTGCTCTATAATTTATTTGTGATGCTTAAATTAACCAAATGAAAAATGTACCTTAATTTTAATTATTTTTGTGCAATTAGATTTTTAAGGCTAACAAATTGTTGTATTAATTTTTGATAACCTTTTATTTATGGACACATGTCTGTTATGTTCTATGTATTGTTTATTATTGTTCAAATAAATTAAACTCATATATATATATATTGTAGATATTTTCTTTATGCCTAAACAATTATGTAACAGATTCAAACAATGGTAAATATTTTATTTTTATATTATCTGTTATAAATTTATATAAACTTTCATATGTTATTAGTCAAATCATTGTAAGAGTATTTTTTTTAGTAAATATAAATAACTGGACTACAAATTTAAAAAAAAATCATGGTTTTTACAAATTTAAAATTTTCAAATTCTATAACCCTTTGTCTTTAAGTTAATTTTTAAAAATGTTCCATAGTCGACTTAAGAACCATAAGTATATGTTACTATTTATGGGAAAGGTGTCTGATTTAATCAATTTTCCTCCTAATTTTATTGTTTGTTTATCAATTTGAATTTTTGGAATAGGCGAGCTTTACCCTAGAAAATACTTTAATCTATCCTAGCCCAGAAGCGTTAATATATATGTCTCATATCTAACTGTCAACACTATTAACTTTTGATACAATTATCATTTTGTTGAAATTCTTTCTTTCTTTTTAATAATTTTAACTTGTTTAGACTACGTTCAAAGTAAATTATTTATTATTTATTTGTAGGGTTAGGAATTTAATAAATTTATCAATGATGTTAAGTTATTTTGAACAATCAACCAGTACAAATTTGTGTTAATGTAATTGAAAACTTAATAATTTTTTGTTGCTGAAGTTATAGTGTAGAGGGAGTTAGGGAAACAAATTATTTAAAAATAAAATAATTTGAATAACATAACTTCTTTTATTAAGTATCATTTTTATCATCGAAGCTGAGAGGTATTAATTTTACTATGATGTGTTTGTTACCACTTTTACTCAGTTCTCAACCGATTTCTTTCAAATATACTTAATTGTTTAATTAAAGATATTACCCTCAAAACTTGAAAAAATTTCCACTTTATCAATTAAAAAGTTACTTAGCCAACATTTTCCATATAGACTACTAATGTTATTAAAGTATTCATTGTCGAATTAGGTTTGATATATTTTATATAATAGGTTTCAATTACAAAATTAAATAATTTTACTTTGAATTTATTATTAGCTTCGATGCGAATCTAAGAAAGTATTGGTTTTACTATTATGTATTTTTTTTTTTTGTGTGTCTGTTACCACTTTTTCTCAGCTCTCAATGAACCGAAATCGTATCTAGTTGAAGACATTACCCTTAAAAATTTTTAAATTTTTCCTTTGTTCACCGCAAATGGGGGAAATCTCCAAAAAAATTACAAATTTAAAAATCGGTAAATTTTGTCATTTTTTTCTTAAAACTTCCATAACTTTTTCAAAAATCAACAAATTAACATAATTGTTTTTTATACTAAAACCTTAGATATTTCCCTTTTATTTGATATCATTTTTTTGAAAATTTAACACTTAACCTGCTCACTGGGGGGGATTTAAAATAGCAACTTTTTTACGAAAATTAACTTTTTCAAATGAACTTTTGAAAATGTTCCGAAAATACTGCGTCCTTTAAACATATATGAAATCAAAGATTATGTTATATACTATAAAATGAAAAAAAAAATTTGTCCCGACACCTTATCTTCTATGTGCAAATGGCTGTCGAAATTAAAAAAAAAATGTAATGTTTACGATAAAAATCACCTTTCATCGGGATGTTTTTTCTACTTAAAACTGCTATAACTTTTTTAAATATTAACAAATCAAATGATGTTTTTTTATATTGAAACCTTAGATATTTCCCTTTCATTTTGTATCATTTTTTTTTTGAAAATCTAACACTTATTCTGCTCACAGGGGGGATTTAAAATAGCAACTTTTTTACAAAAACTAATTTTTTCAACTTAACTTTTGAAAATGTTCCAGAAATACTGCGTCCTTTAAACATATGTCAAATTAAAGCTTGTCATGAACTATAAAATTAAAAAAAAAAATTTGTCCCGACGGCCTATCTTCTATGCGCAAATGGCTACTATATTCAAAAATATACTATTTTTGTGTTAAAATCCTGGGTTCTATATTTTATTTTATCTTAAAATATCTTATAAAAGCAATACACTGACTTTCATGAACATTTTATAATTTAATTAACATAGAATAAAGTTCATAAGATATTAAACTTATTAATTTTTTTTGCTTTTTAAAGTCGAAAAAGTAATTTTTAAATTTGAGTTAGCTTAAAAAGCCAATTTTTTCAAACAGGGAAAGTAATGAACCGTTGCCGAGTCGGTGTGAAACACTTGTGTTTTTAACACGCTTTTATTAGTTTCACATGTATGTTGTATGTTGTTTGTATGTAAGTTTGTAACTCTCCAAACGCCACGCGTNCAATGAACCGTTGCCGAGTCGGTGTGAAACACTTGTGTTTTTATGCTGACGGTACGAGGTTCAAGTCCGTCTGCTGCTATTAATATTTTGCATTTTTTTTGAGTTAGAATAAAATTTTCAAATCATTTGAGATTTATCTCATTTAGATTCAATAACTTCAATAAATATAAAGGATCCTATCACTATAGTGTCCCCTCGTGAGAAGAAATTTATATTCATGTTAATATTATTTTACTATGTGGTTCTTTTGTGGATACGATTTATTTTGCCAACCCTCACTAGACCTACTTTTTTCAACGATACGTCAAATGATTAATTTAAGTTTATGATATTTAAGTTAATACTCTTAACGAAAAAATATTCCTTATTCAAATAAAAAGTAGCTTAAGCAGCTTTTTCCATACAAACAATTAAAATCAATAATTTCTAATATTCTTAAAGTATTTATTGTCAAATTAGATTTGATATGATAAAAGTATTCAACTACAAAAGTAAATAATTTTACTTTGTAATTTATTAATTTTNGTAAATAATTTTACTTTGTAATTTATAAATTTTATAAATCTATTTGTGTGTGCTACTACCAGTCTATAATTTTTCAAATTTTTTTGTAACATGTTGCTACATAAACAGGGTCGTATTTAGGAATTTTGCCGCCCGGTGCTCTTAATTTTGCCGCCCCCCAAAAAGTGTTGGATTGGGTTTTTTAGTTGGCGTATTTAATAATTCCGAATATTCAATTAATTGATTTTCATTTTCCATGGTTTCAAAAGTACTATGTAGAGGATGTTCACTAAAAAATTATAAAATTGTTTATTTATAAAAAACTGAATTAACGCAGATGAGATAACATATGCTTCAAGCATTCTTTTTGATTTGTACGCCTTACCTTGGTGCAATAGAAGACGTATTTATTAATTGTTTTTCCGAATTTTCAATTATTTGATTTTCATTTGCTAGGGCTTCAAGAGGACTCTGAAGATTAGGCTCACAAAACAAAATATAAAATTTTTCATTTATATAAAACTGAAATAACGTACAAAAGTTAACATTTGATTTTTAAATTACTTTTTATCACGACTCATTTGAAATCTGTTCAGCTGTAGTCTCTATTTTACTTGGCGAATTGGAGATTTATGGTCGTTGATTGCCAAAAAATGAAGTTAATTTTGCGGTTTGAGAAATGACTTTTTGTTCTTTTTCTAATTTTAATTTAGCAACTTTTTTATAAGCACTTCCACTTAAACGTTTTCTGCCATCACTCATTTTAATACGTTAATAAATAATAAAATATACAAATAAAAAAAAACACCTCAACACATTAAGTCGGTCACTTGTAGTCGAGTACTAAACACAATGAGCTGTCTGTACACAACACATTATTAGTGTGACATTATTAGATAGTAATTTTGTGAAAAATGAGACAAATTATTGTGTTTTAACTTTCTTAGTATTCCAATAATAATCGACTATCAACGGCCGACGACATCCATAAAACCAGTTTAAGGGAGAAAATATCAATACTTTGTTAAAATTAGATAAAAACATGAATCAAATAAATTGCCGCCTACTTTATTTATAGTGCTGTTGATTATAAAAATACTATGTATAATCAATACTATTATCTAACTACTAACTGTAGTCTATGTTGTTATACAGCTTTGATATATCTTCTTTTACATTTATATCTTTGTACACGTTTTAAGTTAGAAAATAATAAAGTAATATTTTTTTTAGAAATAGATATTTTTGTTTCATAAAAATAAATTGTTCTGTTTGAAAAAATTTTAAATTAAATAAAAATAATTAATTTTTAAAAATTGTATACCTATTAAGATTTTTGCCGCCCGAGGCAAATGCCCCCAATGCCCCCCCTAAATGCGGGCCTGTACATAAATCATAAATAAAAAAAAAATGATTTTTAGTTTCACCTGAATTTAACGATGGATTTTTACAATTATAATCAAATTTTATAATACGCTCAATTGAGTAAATCTTTTTTTTTATTGTTTTTTTTAGATATATAATCATTAAAATTAATTAAATTTTGAATATTTCCATTGTAGAATCTTTTTNAATATATAATCATTAAAATTAATTAAATTCTGAATATTTCCATTGTAGAATATTTTTAAACACCAAAAGTTAATTAGAAATAATGATTACTATGGTTTTTATTTAAATGATCTTTTACGATAAAAATGTAAAAAAAATCGAACTTTACTGATAAATGTACTGTAAATAATAATTATAAAATTTCCTGATTGCATATTAATTTTAACAATATCATTTTTTTCTATTAAATAATGTCAATTTCAAACTTGCAAGTTGAGCTAAAAGTTATGGTAATCAATTTTTTTTTTTAAAACTTTCACTTTAAAGGACAAAAAACAGTAGGTTCAAAATGATTACTTTTAACATATTAAAAATCAAAATCAATAATAATTTGAAAATAATTAATTTTAAAAATTATTTAATATATAAGTAAAAAAAATTACTAATCTGGATATAATTAAGGAAATAGAAGTTGATGTTGCTTTTGTAATCATCCAATCACTGTCAGATTAAATCTATACTGGACCCAACTATGTGTACTAAACCAAAAATAAAAAGAAAGAAAAAGAAAAAGAAACGAGAAAAATAGAGAGTTATTAATATAGAGAATGTATAGGTTAAATATAAAAAGAAATTGGATTGTACTTAGTAAAT